CGCTGCATCGGCGACGTCGGCGTGGAGAAAATCGGGCTTCACATCGAGTCGCATCGCCAATGCATCGGCGATGCATGGGCGATGCGGCGCCATCCTCCGACCCCGGCACCCCGACAGGGCCACGCCCTGGGCGCCCGGGCCCGTGGATGGAAGAGGGGGTGGGGATGGGCCGGGGTAACAATCGGGCTGGCCCTGCTGGGAAGGCTTCGGGCTGCGCACCGGAAGACGAAGCCAAGACGAGGACAGAATCGGGTGAGGACAAGTCGAGAATCTCTGAGATCCGGCGGCTCTGCAAGATGTCTCGGGCGCCACGGAATTTTGAGAGCGTTCTGGAACGCTCTGAGAGTGTTCTGGAACGCTCTGGAACGGCGTACCTCGTCTGAGCACCGTCTGACACATGCAACCCCCCAGCAATGTGTCAGTCCGGGTATCGCTTGGGCGTGCGGCGCCGCAGATCCTTCCATCCGGGACAAGGCCTGGTGCGAGCTGCGCGCAGGCGGTCTCCCCAGGTAGCCCCGGCAGGCCTCCACAGGCCCCCCCGAGGAGGAGTCCCAGCTGGCCTCAGCAGGCCCCCCCGGAGTAGCCTGGGGCGGTCTCAAAATCCTAACGCCGCCTCTGGCGGCGCTCCACGCCCCAGGGTTGGGGTGCTGAGACAGCCCCCGACTACTCGGGGGGCCTGTTGAGGCCAGCTGGGAATAGCCAAGGGGGGCCTGTTGAGGCCAGCTGCAGGGGGGACGTCTGTGCGCAACCCGAAACCGTTTTCGGGCCCCGTCCTGGAAAAAAGATCTCCGACGCCGCACGCTGAAACGATAACTCGACTGACATATTCCCGAAGGTGATGGATATCCCGCAAGGTCTTCCGATAAATATCGCCGGTGGGGCATGTCAAACAAGTGAAGCTACCACAAAATATTACGCGACGACTTGCTGCATGCGACACCTCATCACGACCCCAAACCAAGTAGAGCAGCTTGTACACCACAGGACTCTCAAACAACATGTTGCCGACTTACTGTGCACTGCGAAATCTCGAACAGTATCTTAGGCCACCGACCTCAAACGAAATGTTTGGTCACTAAAGGCGTCAACATCAACATCTCCGTTGTCGCAAAAGTCGTCATCAGCAGCATGAGCAGCATCAAGGTCGTCCAAATCATCAATACCATCGTCGTCATCATCGCTATCATACAACCCGCTGGAGTAAAAAAAAAAAAAAAGAAAGACCGTGGGGATCGAGAAAGACACAGTTCGCCTCCCGTTAGGCCGCGGGGCCACGGGACAATGTTGGAGTTGGGGCCAGTTTGGTAATTTCAGATGCATCTCTCACCCCTTTTAATGTTATAACGACCAAATGGGGTCAGCGTCTGAAAGTGCGATTCCGCCCAAAACTTCCTCAACAAATCTTTCAAATCACCTTCCAGGGCGATATGAAAATTTGCCATGGCATGTGAAAATGGCGATTTCGCGTGGGACTTCCTTATAAAAAAAAATCAGATTGATCTTCATGCCGCTTGAGAATGGCGATATCGCCTGAGAATTCCTTACACATATTTTCCGGCTGCTTTTCACGCCGCATGAGAGTGGCGATGGCGTTTGGGCTGTCCTAATAACCACGGGTCTCGTCCACCCCTGCGTCCGTTCGGGTCACGAGCCTGTCTGGGAGTCATCTTGGGATCAATCGAAGGTCGAAGCTCGAGGTTCTATCGATTGGCGAAGACCCAGGGGTTGGCCCCTCGCAGGGTGCAGATCACCACTTTTTAATCCAGGGGGTGGTAGTCATCATCACCACCACGCAGCACCAGCATCAGATCAGCATCATCATAATCGGCATCATCGTCTTCATCATCATCATCATCATCAGCATCATCATCATCATCATCATCATCATCATCATCATCATCATCAGCATCATCCTCATCCTCATCCTCATCATCATCATCATCTTCATCATCTTCATCATCATCATCATCAGCATCATCATCATCATCATTACCATCATCATCATCATCTCAATCACAATTATCATCATCACCACCATCATCATCAACAACATCATCATCGTAATCAGCATAGTCGTCCTAATCGTCCTCCCCTTCCTCCTCATTATCCCTACCACCTCTCCTCCTCTCCTCACACTCGTTTCTCCTTATGTATGAACAAGTCCTCCTCGTTGCAGCAAATAGCATTTCAGTAGGGTGGCCTGAGCGTATCGCCTGATACGATCCCCAAGTAGAACCCTGGAGCTTGAGAGTTCCAAGAGCTGCACGGATGGAGGGCGAATCGTTTTCAAAGTGTTGCTATCGCTCTTGCGCCGCCCGCATTCATCTTCTTCATCGCTTCAATCGGATCGAATGAAGCCGGCGCAACCCCAATGAGGGCGTCGAATGGCATTGCTGTACATTACTTGGCATTGCATGGCGTTGATTGGCATTGCTTGGCATTGCGTTGTCTTGTTTGGCATTGCTGTGCGTTGCTTGGCACAATGTCTGGCATTGATTGGCATTGCCTGACAGATCTTGGCAGTGGTCGCAGCCGCAGGGTCGCCCGAGGGCAATAGGGCACTCCAGCCCTTTGAAGCTTCGACGCGGATCAAACACACCGTGGTGCAGGAACCGCACATTCGTGCAACAAAGCGATGCGTTCGATGTAGATATTCAAGGCCTGAGCGTGTCACCTGTAAGCTGAGGCTAGCCCCTGTCACATGTGAGTTTATGTAGGTCAAGCAGGCCCGAGCGTGTCTCTTGTCAGCATAGGATGGGCAATCCGACCTGAGCGCGTCACGTCTTCTTGGTATGTCGTTGGATTGCTTAGCGCTGAATGGCACTGATTTGCATTGCTTGGAGTTGCTTTGCGATGTTGTCATCGCTTTGAGCTGCTGTGCCCTGTTTGGCATTGATTAACATGGCGATGCTCGGGAGTGCTTGACATTGCTTTGCTTTGCCTGGCATTGCTTGGATGTGCTTGACCTTGGTTGAAAGAGCAAGACTAAGGAACCCGAGATGGCAGCAAAGGAACCAATACTGAACAACCCGAGGGCTGCAGCAAAGAACCAAGACCAATGATCCCAGGGATGACAACACGGAACCAAGACGGGGGAACCCAGGGAAGGCAAGGACCCAAGACCAAGGAACCCAAGGAAGGCAGCACAGGGAACCAAATCCAAGGAACACCAAGAACGAAACAGGGAACCAATACCAGAACCGAGAAACTCCGAGGGCCGCCTCACTGAGACGGCCCCGCACCCACCTTCTTCTTGCACAGACAAGGAAGAACCCCTGAGGCAAGACGAATTGGGGAAAAAGAATTCTTGATGGTATTCGAAAGGCAGCTCTCGCCGCTGCGCCGCGCACGGTCGTATAGCAAGCATCCGAAAACTACAAGGACAGAGGGCGGCTCATTGCCAACATTGCGATATTGCATGCGACTTCCTCGACTTTATTACCAATAGTGCAAGCTTGCGCAACAATGAATATTGTTCAAACTAGGGCTCCAGCTGGACACTTCCTCGGATGTTATGATCCTGCCTCTAAGCTATTCGCATGCTGTGTAGCTCGAAACAGGCCGCGCAAATCCATGTCAAAACGGAGCTTTCGCAAGTCCATAGGACAAGTGTGGGATACTTGCAGAGACATGAGAAGGGGACTTCGGTCAGGAAATCCAGCTGATGAAGCTGGGCTTCCTCTGGCCCTCCTCCACCTCCTCGTCATCCAACTTCCCCTCCTCTTGCGATGTATTCCTCCTTGTCGCACCAGCAAACGTATTGGTTAAACGGGCCCGGCGTTTCGCTTAAGGATTCCTCACAACTTACGACCCTGGGGCTTGAAGGATCTAACAGGTACACCGATGGAGGGCAACCTGTTTCCAGAATGTGGTTCTGGCCTCAGCACCACGCACATTCGTCTTGGAAGCTTCTAACCAACACAAATCCAGTTCAAGGGAGGTCTCGCTTTTGCGCCGGGCACGTTCCGATTCAAAGCTGCTAACAACTATAAGGATGGAGGGCGAATGGTGTTCAAAAAGTGGTCCTCGCCCCAGCGGCACGCACGCTTGTGCAAAACAACCTGAGGATGGAGGGCGGTTCCGTTCCGAAGTTGGGCTATCGTTGGGGACTTGTTCATGTCTGTGAAACGTGCACAATGGAAAGAGAGAGAGAGAGAGCGAGTGGCCGGCACCATTCATCGATGGAACTCTCGCTTGAGACTTTGTCAGTATGGCCGACGAATGCACTTATCCAATAATTGGACGCATGGAGGACAAGAATTGCTCAAAACGAGGCTCCCGCTGGGTATGCCCTTAGACATCCTACCCGAACCACTTATCATCCACCACCGTGCCACGATGCGCAAAGTGGAGTGTCCTCAGGTCCCTTCGAACTCCACGTTTTGAGTTATCTAGCTGCTCGTCCACCTTCTCATCTCCCTCCTCCTCCTCGCCCTCCTCCTCATCCTCCTCCTCATCCTCCTCCTCGTCAGGAGAGTTGCTGCAAGACCCCGGCTGTGGCTCTCCTTGCGCGGATGTCATATCCGATCTGATCCTCGTCGTCGAGCTCTCATCATGTTCATCGTTCGCATCTTCCTTCTTCCGTTTCTACATCTGGTTCTCATTTCTGGTCCTATTCCCTTCGAATTAGTGTCCTTCTCCTTCGCCTCCATCCCCCTCCTCCTCCTCCTCCTCCTCCTCCTCCTCCTCCTCCTCCTCCTCCTCCTCCTCCTCTCCCTCCGGCTCCTCCTCCTCCTCCTCCTCATCATCATCATCACCAGTCATCACCATCATCATTATCGTGATCAGCATCATCAGCATCATCAGCATCATCAACATCAGCATCATCAGCATCACCATCATCATCACCACCATCATCAGCACTACCAGCATCATCATCACCACCAACACCACCGCCATCATCACCATCATCACCAACACCACCACCATCTTCAGCATCATCATCAGCAGCAGCATCATCATCAACATCAACATCCTCTTCCCTCCTCTTTCGCCCAAGCCTGCACCGCGCTGGGAGAGCAGCCCGAGCAGACCGCCCTCCCGCAGAGGTAGCACTGGTGCCTGGGGTGCGCCACCATGGGAGGGGCGCGAGAGGCTGGAGGGACATCCTATACGAACAACACATGTTAGCAAGCGCGGCCCCCAAACAATAAGCACTTACATTGCGAATGCGTGAGCTATGCGGTGGAAGCTATGTCATGCAAGCCATGTGGTGCAAGCTAGATGGTGCAAACTATATGGTGCAAGCTGTATGGTGCCCTCTACGATGTGCTATATATATACATACATATATATATATATATGTGGCGTGAGCCATTCGATGCAAACTGTGTGTTGCAAACTACGTGGTGCAAAGTACGTGGCGTGGCCTGTGTGGTGCAAGCTATGTGGTTATGTGGTGCAAACTGTGTGGTGCCAACTATGCAATGTCAACTGTGTGGCGCGATATACGTGATGCAAGCTATGTGGCGTGAGTTATGTGCTGCAAGCTGTGGGTCGTGAGCAATGTGGTGCAATCTACGTGGTGCAAGCTGCTTACTATGCCTAGTAGTGCAAGCTATGTGTTGTAAGCTAGGTGGTGCAATACGCATGGTGCAAGATAGGTGGCGCAAGCTATGTGGTGCAAACTGTGTGGTGTAAGCTATATGGTGTCAGGTCTGCGGTGCACGCTGTGTGCTTACGTTATGTGGTCAATCCCCTGCGTGACTGCTAGGTGGTGGTATATGTGGTGCAAGCAGCGTGGTGCACGTGCAAACTATGTGGTGTAAGCTATATGGTGACACGTATGAGGTGCAGGCTATGTGGTTTGAGCTATGTGGTGCAATCCACGTGATGACTGCTGTGGTGCAAGCAGTGAGGTGCAAGCTATGTGGTGTACGTAAGCAGCGTGGTGAAATATACCTGGTGCAAGCTATTTGGTGCAAGCTGCCTGGTGCAAGCTCTGTGGTGCAATTCGCTTGTGGAACCCGCAATTGTCAAATCCAGTGCTCGCGCAACCCTCCCTCCCACCCACCCACCCGCAACTTTTCTGCAAAACGCGAGCGGCGACGATTGCCATGAGTGCTTGATGCTGGCTGGTGCATCTCTGCGGCCGCGCCAACCCGCGCATGTACTTGAGCGCGGCGACCGCGGTTGCGGTTGCGGCCGCGGTTGCGCTGACCGCTGGGCACATCCCACCGGGCACTTCAGTGCGAGTCGGCGAGTTGGGCGGGCGCGGTGTCCTGGCAACGTCGACGATAATAGACACGACGATGGTAATAGCGATGTTAACAACGACGACGGCACGGCCAGTGACGGCGCCGATGCTAGTCACGCCGACGACGATGACGGCATCCTCGCGTCGGTGATGAACGTTTTGGATGGAAGTCGACATGCGCGCGCGGCCGACGCGCGAGAGTTGCCCGCATGGCGTTATTTGACACGGATGGTGCCCCCCCCCAGCGCGCGCCAAAGATCGTTTGAATGATTTCGGCATGCGGCGCGAGAGGCCTGTTTGGCATAATTCAATGACAATGTTGAACAAACAACGGCATTTGTAGATATTCGCATGAGCGCGAGCGCGCGTGTTTTTGAAAACTGCTGTTGCGAAGCCACATGTTCTTGTATGGTTTCGCGACACTCTGGTTTGAAATCTTTGCGAAACCTGGGTCTGCGTGACGGGCTCCGGCACGCGGGAACGACGACCCACGCGCGCACTTGGCCCCACTCTTGCAGAATAATATCGCGAAATCACGCGCGCAAGCGCGTTCGAGCGATTTCGTCTCTCGCGCGCGCATCCCACTTTGTAGGATTTCATGAACGCGTTGAAAAACCTCTGGCTTTCTTGAAATGTCGCAAGAGCGCGCGTTGTTTTTATATTTATATATATACTAGAACCACGCGCGCGCTTCGCGCGCGCTTAGGTTCTGTCGAGTCACAGACCCAGGAATCGTTGCGAGAAGAAATTGGTGACGCGAAGCGTCTTGGGGGCGTCCTTGGACGTCTGGGGTCTCCTGGGGCCTCTTGAGGGGCCTCCTGGGGGCCTCCTGGCGGCCTCTTGGGGCGGAAGGCTCGAGCTTGCGGTTCGTGGTCCCCCTCTGGGCCCCCTCTTGGGCCCGTCTTGGGGCCCTCTTGGGCCATCTTGGGCGCCTCTTGGGCCGTCTTGGGGCCCTCTTGGGCTGTCCTGGGGCCCTCTTGGAAGCTTCTTGGGCCGTCTTGGGGCGGTCTTGGGCGCCTCTTGGGCCGTCCTGTAACGTCGGAAAACCCAAAAGACAACTTTCGAGAACATGTTCATGGACAAAATTGATTTTCCTCCAAATTGAACGTTTAAGAGAAATTTCTCTTGAATCCAAATTTATTTGGATAAAGCACCGCAGGAGCAAAAATGCCCTGTGTAAGAGTAGCTCATGAGTGCTGTATAGCAGACGACGCACGCTGAACCATAGATTAAGCGTACATGAGCACACCGATTGATACAATCAATTCGGTTGATGATGATGATGATGAGGAGGAGGAGGAGGAGGAGGACGACGACGACGACGACGAGGAGGAGGAGGAGGACGAGGAGGATGAGGAGAAGGAGGAGGAGGA